TAAACCCCTAAACCCCAAACCCAAATACCCTAAATCCCGAAACCACCATATTGGTGACCTCGGAACAGGGTGCTGTAAGTCAAGGGTTTATATTGGGGTGCCCTACGTTCTTGAAACTCACATCTGTCCTTTGCAGGCCATTCGTAACATCTTGAAGGAGTTTCCCAGACTGGATACCCGAGGACTTGGCGGCTTGGGTGGAGTGGAATGCATTGTGGTCATACCCTGATGTCCTTTGCCATCACTTTAGGTCGGTTTCTGCTGCTCAACCGTGGTACCACTGCACTGCTACCACTGCTTCAGACTCGGCTTTTGGGTATATTGTACCATGGTGATGTAAGGGAACCCTAAAAAATAACCATTAACAATTCCCAGGTCCTAAACCCTAAACCCAATCCTATGTTCCCCTTCTTGCCATTATGCTCTGGCGAGGAGTTGCCGAGGTCTTGTGCGTGTGATCCTCGGATTTTGCAGAATGCGGATAGCAGCCGGGTCAGTCGAGAGGGGCACCATATATATATATATATCTTTATACACATGTATTTATGTACGTACATGCATGTTTATTTATTGTCAAGGATTCTGTGTACTTCCGGTGTATTGTATATGGTATATTGAAACGTCATACTGTTGTATAATGTTTCGCAGTGCTATACTACATTATGCTGTATTGCATTGCACGACGGTGCGTTGTGTTTTCATTACATTTTCGTGTTGTGTTTGTTGTAATTTGTACTTTTATATTCCATTAGGTTTTGCTGTGTATTTCGTTTCGTTCTGCATGATGACATTATACCAAACCACATCATGCCATGTATATCATATACAGTTAAATGACCTAACTAGCATTATTTTCATAGATAGGTTTACTTTGTTGTATGATAGGACATGCTACTATAGTTTTCAGACAGTATTGTATTGTACGATATGAGATAATTTGTTCGGCAAATGATATATTACATATCCCATAGAACATACTACATACTGTACATTTTATACCAACCCTTTCACGTAATCCACAACAACATAACATATGTTATGTAAAATATAATACGCGATACAAGCCACAAATATATAAAGCAAGCTGCTTACAGACGAGGTTTCTCTGCATTTCGGGACATCCTCGTCAAGCACTGCTCCGGCCACCGCAACGCCAGATCCGAACGCGCAGCACGGGGACCCAGCAAAAGGGGAAGAAGGCCGTTCGACTTTGAGGCCAGTGTGTTTTTGTATTTGTTCATAAAGGATTATGTTATATTAGCTTAAACTGTATTGCACTATATTGCATTATGTCGTCATATCTCTGGGGCCTTTCGTTAGTTCCGGAATCGAAGGCAGCTCTCCTCTCACTAAGTTCGCAGCAACTCGAGTGCCCTAAACTCTAAACCGCCTATGCCGTCTTTGCAGCTGCTGTGTCGTTTGTCAGCCCGCCAAAGCCCTGTGGCGATCCCCAAGATGTAAAGACCCCATACCTGGACACAAACAGTATGTAAAATAATAGCCTCTTATGGGTCTTGGGCCATTATTTTACCTACTTTTGGGGGTTGAGGTAGTACGGGCCTTGACAATTTGAACAGAACGACTTGAACAGCGCCAACCTGCTACCAAAAGCACCAGACCAACCAGGTGCTGATACTCCCAACGAAGCAACATAAGAACCACTCATAACCCTAAACCCCACACCCCAAAACCCTGAACCCTAAACCCCTAAACCCTAAACCCAAACCCCTAAACCCTTAACCCCTAAACCCTACACCCCTGAACCTCTAAACCCTGAACCCTGATGCCCTCGGACGCCATGGCGCCATGCGCTGCGTGGCCCTCCTGCTGGCGCTCATCTCTCCACATGAGGCTCAGGCGTCTCAGCTCGCATGGCTTCGCTTTTCCCATCCCCCTCGTGGCCATCACGGTTTAGGGTTTAGAGTTTACCACAAGCTTCCGAATGCTTTAGACTGCACTCCTCTCGGTTCTGAGAGTCCCTCTTGGAAAGCCGGGTGCGGGTCTCAGGTTTCTTCTTGCAAGAAGGGTTTCAGATCATTAGTGGCTGTGGCTGCTGCCATTGCACAAGGCCAATCTTACGGCCCGGACCGCACTGCCATCAAATTCGCGCAGGGCTTGCATGGTGGCTTGAAGTGCATGATCGCCAGATGTTGGGCTGAATCCAATGCCCTAGACTTTCTACATGACTTTGCGTGCTAGTTTTCGTAGCCGGCCAAGGGCTCCTCGAAAGCCCGCCAAGCCCAACCCCACGCTCAAAGAGGTCTAGCAGTTCTCATAATAGAGCTACGATGTGAAGTTCACAAGATCGGATCAGGCCACCAGTAGGGGCTCAATGTGACCCATCCTGGGGTCTAGTCAGGAGCAGTAGCAACATGTCTGCATATCAACCTCTCTTGTTACCTACTGTTACCTCTTTCCAGTCTTTCTCTCATTCTGTGGTTTTCTTTTGCCAAAAAGCTCTGTCAAGTCCCTGGGTCCGCCAGAGAAAAGGGTTTGGGGTTTAGGGCTACTTGGAGGCCCGGGCCGGGGGACTTAGTAAGTAGGTTATAAGTAGAGTTATATGTACCCTAAATGGAGTTACCCCAATTATAACCCTACTTATAACCGACTTACTAAGTCCCCCGGGTCTCTAAGCAGCTTTCCATGCTGTGCGGCAGGTCGTGTTGGATCGTCGATTCTTCATTCTGGACACGCAGCTGCAGCCCAAGTGTTATAGGCCTCGGGCCCATTTCTGCAGACTCCAGCAGACCCGTCCGCACATAACAGGGTTTGGAAATGCTTCGAGCAGGGCCCCTGTGTCTAGCCTTGGTCGAGTAGCTCTGGTCGTGGCCCCGAACGCTGTGCCATATGAGTCAAAAACTTCCTTGCGCCGTGTCAGGAGGTCCCGCTCAATGTCAGCCGTTGGTCTGTGCCATGCGCTGGGGATACAGGCCTTCGACCATGTAGCATGTGGCTTCTTCACGGGTCTTATGGTTTCATGGGATCACCTAAACCCTAAACCCTAAACCCCTGTGCATGGTTCAACCTGGAGCTGCTAAGAGCCGCCTCAGGAAAAGAAGCAGCCTGGTCCAGGTTACCAGTACTCCATGGAGTCCCAGTTCCTCGAGTTCCTGCAGTGGCAGCCGAGCCTCAGGCCCCGTCTGAGTAAATTGCCACGGTGCCTGGGTCACAAACCTGAAGGGTAGGTGACTGCTTTCTGTAGCAAGACCCTGAGCATGTTGCGTCTTCGATGGCTCCAGGATTGGATTGCTCTGGCTCATGTCGGCATCAATCTGGAACCGGGCAGGACGTACGATTGGCGTGTGGCGGACTTCATCTGGCTCTCGCAGTGCGTGACCAAGGCCCCAGTTCCTCTCAGGCTTTGTACCTTATTTTGGAGTCCTTATAATAAAGGTCCTACTATTTAGGATACTCTGTAAGTCCTTTTCTTAAAGGTACTACTATTTATCTAGGGTACTATATTAGGTCCTTATAATCAGGGTCCTACTATTTACTTAGGGTACCATGTTAGGTCCTTATAACTCAGGTCCTAGTATTTAGGGTACTATATTAGGAGGCCCGGTTCCTCTCAGGGATTTTTTTGTACAAGGATGGTAGGGCTTTCGTGGTTTAGAGGGTTTACCGTTGCAGGGCTGTTGGGGTTTAGGGTTTCTCTCAGTGTAACCGTTGTCGGTTTTTAAAGAGAAGATGGGGTTCAAAATGTCGATGTAGATCCGTGTATCAGTAGACCTATCAGAAGCCCTTAAACAAGGAAGGGCTTCTGTCAATGAGGCTTACCTAAGAGTGACAAGCTTCATCATGACAGTAGGAGTAAGAAGGGCAGCCGCGAGAAGATCAAATGCGCGACCAGAGTTGCGATAGTAGTCTTCATCACAGACAGAACCAGAAAACAGCTAGAAGAAGATAGGACAGGTAGTTAATAGTAAAATTAGCAGCAAGGTTTTCAGTAGGTAAAGGATGGATGGCACAAGTCGCAGTTACGGTACTGGTAAGAAAAGCGGACCAAGGGTACCGATTCCGAGCTTAGCAGTCTACACTAAGTTAAAGAGGGTCCTTATGCCCTAAACCCTAAACCCTAAACCGTCAGTTTTGGAGCTGGCCGACAGGTGTATTGGAATTTGCGCGTCAACCACTCCTACTCTCACGAGGCGGTTGCTGGGAGAGTGCTGCAGTCAGGCAGTGAAGGTCTGGGCGTTAAGAGCTTGGAGAGGGAACGGTGTCGAACTTCGAGATGAGGTTACTTTCTTGCAGGCGGAATTGTCGTAAGAGCTTTGGAAACTGCCAGCTCTTAAAACCGAAACCCTAACCCTAGCTCTCTTGGCGAGAACCTGGTTTTCCGCTCCTCCGTGCAGCAAGGCGGCTCTGGCGCAAGCGGACGCTTGGTACCTGCGCCGCTCAGTTATTAGGTCCTTATAGGTCCTACTATTTAGGGTACTATAATAGGTCCTTATAAGGATCCTACTATTCAGGGTACTATATTAGGTCCTTATAATAAGGATCCTACTATTTAGGCTACTATATGCCCCTCCTCACCCACCACTGAACCGCGAGATCCAGATGGTTCTGACACTGTAATATACCCCCAAACCAGATTCCTACTTTCATTGTGCAGACCGTTGTTTACGGTTTAGGGTTTAGGGTTTGGGTTTACGGTTTAGGGTTTAGGGTTTAGGGTTGTTTCTTTGAAGGCGTGGCAGGTGTGCAGGATGCAAGGTCCTAGCACCACAAACATCCAGAGCTGCCAAGTACGAGTCGTTTGCTTTCCTAAGACTCCCGTCAGCAGCCTGTAAACCCGAAAAAATGCCCTAAAACCTAAACCCGTAAACCCGTCAACCCGTAAACCCCTAAGCCCTAAACCCTGAACCCGAAAAGCCTAAACAAACCCTAAGCCCTGAAGCCCCGAAGTCCGTGAGCCCACTTTGTCTCCGCCCACCTGCATTAGGCCCTGTGGCCCAGTGGGCTAATGCCCACCCGGCCTGGCAGCGCCATTCCGGCGTCCCTCGGCAAAATTTCGGGGTGTTTAGATAGGACTTAGGACTTTGGATTTGAGGCTCCGGAGCAGGGCTTATGTGGTGAAAGGGGCCATGAGAAGATGCAATGTTGGGTTCTCGCTGGCCTCACCTCCTCCGGCCCTCATTTCCGACACGGCTTGAACTCTTAGGCCAACTTTGTGACAGTCTATGCGATGGACCTTGGGAGACAGGACCGTTGCTGCCCTCCTCGACCGCGTATCACCAAACCTTGTTTCCACACTGCAACCCTATACCCTAAACCCTAAACCCAAAACCCTAAACGCATGCTTCGTCCTTCCCTATCTAGAAGAGCCGAAGTGGTTTCGAAAGGCTGGCAACTTCTTGAGCACTACACCCGCAGCCCTTTGCGCAGGACTTTCCCGTGGCCCTGGCCGACACGAGGACATCGGCCCGGGGAGCATCACAAAGTGAAAGCCACCCCTTCGAAATCCGAACCCTAACTAAACCCCAAAACCCCAAAACCCTAAACCCTAAACCCCAAACCCTAAACCCCAAACCCTACAATTCTTATGCTCATGGTCCTGCGATACGACTGGAAAGCAAGGAAGGTCGCGGCTTAGAGAATTCGAGGCTATCCGCATGTAGTGGGATGACAGGCTTCGCCCAGAGGTGGCCATGCATTTTGCCTTTTCAACTCAGAGCCGCGAGGTTGGGGCGTTTATATGCAGATGCGGAAAAACGTGGCTTGCGCTCTTTCTGGATGGTGCTACGCTCTGTGATGTTCCCTTTTCCTCCTTTGTAATCCCTGTCGCAAGGGTTTAAACCCAAAGCCCTGCACCCATGAAAACCGAGACGAGCTGGAAGGAATTGGAGTGTCGGCACACTGACCGGCGAAGCGGACTGGCTTCAGAAGGCCTGGCCTATGTTAGGGTTCAGGGTTTAGGTGACGTTAGGTCTGCGGTTGATTCCATTGTCATGGCTTTTCTTCCTCCTCCTCATCATCCCCTCCTTGTTGCATACCAACACTGGTACCACAGTCGCTGCGTTTTTGCCAGCATCAGTCGTATCATACTACGTATGATTGCTCCGAGTCAGTTTGCTATTGCATGTCCTCCCTATCTTCCTGCCTTTTTCACTGCGGGTCCAGCGGCCTGGCACTGGGGGACCTACGCCCAGACCGCCCTTCCCCTGCAGGCGAATCTGTGGGAGACTGGGCTGCAAGCCATGGCCGTCGCGAGTTCATCCTCCAGCCCTAAACCCTAAACCCGGAACTCCCAATTAAAACTGTAAGCGGCACTAGTAGGATCCTGGATTCAAGGACCACCGACAAAGAAGCTCTCCTTTTGTCATGGTCTTTCTGAGCCAAAGAGGACTCTGACTTCGGCGCATCGTCGCCTTGTGCTCTGCAGCATATGTTGAGCTGGCTTTGGGGGTTTCCGTGCCTGGCAGGATCCCTATTGTAAGGTCACGTACTGGGGGCCCCCGGATTTCAGGAAATCCCACCTGCATGTAGCTTGATGATTGCAGCCGCCTCCACTGTTCTGCTGAGGCACTTCCCGAGGCTTCTGTGCCGGATCGCTGTGCAGAGGCACCGCATGCATTTCCCAAGGTTGAAGGTTTAAGGCTTCAGGAGCCGGTTTTCACATTCAGCACCGGCCGGCACCACCCCTTTCGCCAAAAAATGTAGTGTACAGCATACTCATTATCATGCTTCCTCTTATTGTTCTTATCGCTTTATAGCTATAACCTATACTAACACGATGTCACCATAAACCCTAAACCCTAAACCCTAAACCCTAAACCCTAAACCCTAAACCCTAAACCCTAAACCCTAAACCCTAAACCCTAAACCCCTAAGGTCACAACTAAAGTACATGACCTGGCAAGGAGACGCAATCCACAGCGGCGGGCCGAGTCTTCTATCCGCCGCTGGCACCGCATGTAACGTTTAGGGTTTAGGGTTTAGGGTTTAGGGTTTAGGGTTTAGGGTTTAGGGTTTAGGGTTTAGGGTTTAGGGTTTAGGGTTTAGGGTTTAGAGCCTAAATAAGTACCACTACTAACCACTACTATTTTTGGGAACTCCTTATTATAATTATAGCATAAGGGGTCCCGAAACCCTATTATAATTATAGCACAATGGTTCCCATGACCCTTAATTCTAATTATTAAGGCCCCTGCATTCTCTGTTCCTTGGATTTGGGGGATCCGGCTTTGAAGGGCTGGATTCTGGGCCTAAGACGCAGGTCGGTTGCTTCGGGCTCGACGGTTTTGGGACGGAAGGTCAGGCTTCAGGCGCGAAGTGCGAGTGTGGAGACGCAGCGGTGCGTAGAGCTAAGTAGTGAAGAGTGGACGGACCTGGGGATTGCTTGAGGGGATAGCCACAGCTGCCCCACAATGGCTCACCTCGCGATCTGCACTGGGAATCCTGTTTACTGTGGTGTCGCAATATCTACCACAACTCTCACATGAAGACTTTCGTACGTGTCAATCCTTTGGGTGCAGGAGTGCCGGATGCGTGGCGAGTAGCGCAATACCATTACCGCTATTATTTTTACTGCTATTACAAATAGTTTTTGCTACGATAGTCTTGCTACTACGACTACGACTACTACTACTACTACTACTACTACTACTACTACTACCACTACTACTACTACCACTGTCATGATCACTACCGTTCTTGCATTGCAATGCCGGGACGTAGTGACCGCATCCTTGGGAGCGAAGATGCAAAGGCAAGACTTCGTCATCAGCATCCCGAGCCGCTTCATCTCCACTCGAGGCTGGTGACTTTAGCCCACCATATACTACATATATATATATATATATATATATTTATGTAGATATACCATAATCTGCCATAATATCCTACAGTATACTAGGAAGCGCCCATGAATATACGACTTAATATACTATGACTATAATTCCCTTTGATACAGTATCAGATGCTCTAGTATACTAGCCTGAATCCCAACTGAATCCCAAACTTAGCATCACACGCCCAGGCATAAAAATCCTTAGCGAAGGTGAGACCCTTTGCCCTGAGACGCCAGTGGGTTTCCACCTGAAGTTCAGGGATTTACACTTGCTGGTGAGTTTCTTCTCTTTCTCTGCCTGTCTGTCTGCCTGTCTGTCTGTCTATCTCTCCCGGTCTCGGTCAGAGAGAGGGAGGCGGAGAGAGCGACAGAGAGAGAGAGAGAGAGATAGAGACAGAACGAGAGAGAGCGAGAAGGAGTGAACAAAGTTTCGACGCAGATGTCCTCTCTCGCGCACGAGCTGCCGCTCGGACGCGTCTGGCCTTCTTTGCCGGCAGCCTGAACAGCTGTGCCCGGCGTTGGCTGTGCCTCCGCATGCACGTGCAAGGGAAGCTAGATGTAGCACTTCGCATCGAGTTTGAAGGTTTTTCGACACTGAGGGTAGAGATGTGTGGTAGCTGCAACAGGAATTGTAGAATTCTTGAGTTGTGCCCTAGACTCTAGACTTCGAAGATTCTGACCACGTGGAATCGGGCCTTTAAGGGGTTCATGGCTTGACAGGGCCCGGGGACGACCTTTAAATGCCCGATGCCTCGCACGTCCATGCCTGCAGCCTAGAGCCCAAATGCGGGCTGCGCAGCAGCAAGGCATTCGCTCTATGGCAGCATGGATCCAGCAGAGGTCTGGGTGCAGAGCTCCGTTCCTTGGCTGCCCAGAGCTTTGAATTCTAAGTATGGACCTGTGCAACCCATTCTCGGTTTCCAGGAATGACCAAAATGGGGCGGCCATGTGCCTCGCACCATTTGAGCCAGTGCTGGGACATCGGCAAGTGCCAGCTGCACAACATGTGGCCCCGCTGCGCATGTCTCCTTCTCCAAGAAGAAGCTCAGAACAAACTCCATGAACTTTGTCAGTTCGTAAGGCGCTAAATCGCCCAAATGCCCGATCGCCGCAACACCTGATCCATGAGGTTGTGGAGTCCGAGGAGGAGTATCAAGATGCTATGCTTTCTAGCACCTTGCTTGCTATTCGCCACGAGCGAGACTCTGCCTAGAGAGACTTTCTTACCCTTGCGAAAGACAACGAAAGAGAGAGAGAGAGAGAGAGAGAGACCCATGGGGGAGGCGCGCCTTTTGGTCGCACAAGGGGGAGCTCATGGCAAAGGCCCCCTTGGCGAAAAAGATGATTTTGCATACGATGTTGGTCCGCCAAGCAGCTTTATGGGGCTGCGAAACTTGGCCGTATAACATGCAAATCCTTAAGCAAGCGAACTCGATGCAACTGCTCCATATACGAGATATGGCTGGATTACGAAGAGGGGGAACGGAGTCCTGGGTGTCATGGAACCAAAGGACTCTCCGACGTACCCGCCTCTTACTCTTCAAGCACGGGGTAACGAAGCAACACCCCGCTGCAAGCCGTTGGTCCACCTTTATCCTTGAGCAGATTTGGGGACTTCTTGGACATATGTGTCGCGGCGACCCTGTGGGGGGAAAAATCCTTCGCTGGCGCTCTTTAGCTTGGTGGAATGCTCACAGACCGCCGCATGGCAATGTCACCCATGCAAGCCGGTTCAATGCCTTCATGGACATCGACCGCCAAGTCACCTCCATTGCGGGGGAGAACTGGCACCTTGTCGCGATGAACAGGGAACAGTGGGCCTACCTGTCGAAGCGATGGGTAGAGAAGTATGATGTGCCCTGGGCTACGGGTAAGCAAACGAGCATCGAGAACCTGACGCCGCATTCAAGAGCCGCTCCCGCACATCACGACAGTTCCGTCGACGAGATCGAACCGCCAGTGGCAGCAGAATGACGCGGGGGACCTGGACCTACCTCTCCGATGGACCACGCGGACTTGCTGTGGCGATCCTATAGCCGGGGGAACAAGCTCTCACACTGCCCGCACAAGCTGCATGAGGGGCACTAGCTCGCAACACTCTCCAGCCTCAGGCGGGGGGGGAAAAAGCTACGACAGCAGACCAGACAGGCACACCACCGGAGTCGCTCACATGTGATTTGCATGCGTCTGACAGCCTTGCTCGCCGACTGCCGACATGGGAAGCTTCTTCATGCCATGCCTGTCCGTCTGCCCTCTGCCTCTGTTCATGTCAGATGTCAGATGAGAACATATGCCCCAGAAGTTCGCGACAGACGTGACCGCGCTCTGCACCTTCGGCTCGAACCCCTACATGCTCATGCCCGCCTTCATGATCCTCGCTAACACGCTGCCCTACATGATGCTTTGCCTGTTTTCAGTCAGAAACCTTTAAGCCGCGAACTTGAAGTTCAGTGACAGCCCTTTCAGCAGCTCTTGAAGTCGGAGCACCCTCCAGGAAAAGAAGCACGATGAAGATGCTTCAGATGTTTCAGGTACTATCCATGATGCTCTCTGCGAGTTGGGGGATGCACCCACCCGGGGAAACCACGCCCACAGACCCCACAGCACGTTCTGCAGCCAGGCCCACAGCGCAGCCGACACCGCCACAAGCCGCGGCAGCAAACACGGCACCCCCGGCGGTCCCCAACACTGCCTTTCAGCAGCAACCACAACCACCCCCACCACAGGGGGGACCCACGATACCACAAGCGCACTGGCAACCGCCATGGATGCGTGACCCAGGAATGCCGCCTCCCACTCAGCTTACTTGGCAATCCACCCACTTCACCGCCCAGGGCACACCATACACGGCCTGGGGTGGATATGCCATGGCCCCGCAAGCCCAGCAATTCCCACACACTGGCACCCAACCTGGGGGGATCTACTTCCCACCTCCGGCCTACCAGCTCCAGTACACCCAGCCGCAGCAGGCCCAGCCGCCACCGCAGCAAACCTCGTACGGCCCGAACCGGGCCCCGCCACAGCAGTTGACACCTTCACAGACAGCAGCACTCCACTCCACACAGCCGTTGCAGCCTACGAGACCTACAGGACAAGCGCAGCCACAGGTCCCCGTGGTCCCACAGACACAGCAAGCTTACACAGCACCTTCGCTCTGCAAACCCTGCGCCCCTTGCCTCCCTCGTGGCTACGCTCGACCGTATGACCCGGATGATGACCCATGGAATACCCCCTACAGCTCACCCCGCAATGGTGGCGCGGGGGATGCGATGCCGCCAGCTAGCTGGCTCTCACACATCGAACCTCCCGAACCAGGAGCCCCCGCCTCAGGGAAGCAGCCGACCACCACGGGAGCCGACGCCACAAGCCGCGCAGCCCTACTCAGCCTGGTACGACAATGCCACGGACGACCCGCCGCAGCCGCAGCCCCAGCCACAGCACCACACGGGGGTGACAGTGCCACCTTCAGCGCAGCAAGGCTCCACCCCCCCACATCCCAGACAAGAACAGCAACCCAACCCCGACCAGAGCATGCACCACGCGGCCACAGCAGATGTCCTTGACGACCCCCCGAGCATCCCGCCGTGGGAAACAGCCCAAGCTGACCACCTGCCACAAGCCCACGCAGCCTCCGCGACCTGTCCCTCGCATACGAACCCTGGGGGAAGTGCATTCACGGCCAAGGAGCTTGCGAACCAGCGAGACATCCCCCCAGAAATCCCCTGGGAAGGCAGTCAGCAACAGCAACAGCCACAGACCCTCCTGACAGGGGAAGCAGTGCCCCCTCCTCAGGACCCCTCTGCAACAGAAGGAGACGGTGCCGATGACAAGACTGAGCAGCCGCCCGCACCACAGCAGCAGCAGCGCACGCCACCATGGGAAACTCCGGGATGGGGAGGCATCCCTTCCTCCAGCAGGCACACACATTCTGCCACGCGACTTGGGGGACAGGCCTCTACACAACAGACAGCTACAGCGGGACACGGCTCCCAACGGGTAGCCAACAAGCGGGGCAAATACGAGTACAAGCAGCTGCGAAAAATGGGTCGCCACGTCCCCCGCCCTCGACCTCAGCCACAGCATGGGCCCGGATGGGGCTACCAGTTCCAGGCCGACCGCAATGACAGGGAACGAAAAGGGGGAGCAGACGATGCGCCCAGCACCAGCGACGATTCTAGCTACACCAGCAGCAGCAGCGATGGCGATCACGGGTGGTACGACAACCACGCTCCACACTTCCAATCCCACACCAGTACAGACCCACATATCGGCAACACGGGGGACAAAGCTAGCAACCAAGCCAAAGACGACTGGAAGACGCTTCTCAACAAGCACCTACTCCCCCGTGACCACCCGACAACCGACACCCCGGTGCAACCAAATCAGTCGGCAGAGGAGCATACCAGCCACGAGGACCTCGGGCCAACAGACACCCCTGACTCCGCGCCTGCCGTCACAGAAGCTCGGGGCCAAGACGCAGAAGCCGAGGGGGACACCCAGACCGAAACACATCCGGCGGAGGAGCAGGACGACTTCACGTGGCCGCCCGATATCCCCACAACGGCCGACAGCACCTACTCGATCTACAGGCTCAACAACGACTGCTGATCGCCATTGAGTTCCGCCCGGACTTCGTCCCCGACTTTGGGGGAGCCAGCACCGGTGGACCAGCCGACAATGAGCTGCACATCATCATTGCGGGGGATCGGGGACCCCTCGACAGAGCACCAAAGTTCGGGGCGGGTACACGCCTCCGACTGTGCCCCATAGGCGGTGACAGACTGTGGTACGTTTTCGTCATCGAGGCCCCGCCCATGGACATGACGGAGGAGCACAGTTTCCTCCTAGCAACGGGGGACAAGTTCGCCATCCAAGCAGGGCGAGCTGGACGGTGGGAGATCGAGATGGCGCAAGAAAGCACTAGCCCCCCACAGGAGGTCAAGCAAGCCCGACACTACATCCGCACACGGGGGACCACGCAGCGACGACTCAGGGGGATGCCGCCCACTGGCTCCCCGTCCCAAGCTGCCTCCTCCTCCGACCCGCCGCCCCAGCAGTTGCAAGGCCGCTCACAGACAACAGCACTCCACCACAGCACGGCCGCCTCTTCTACCGACCCACAGCCACGCGACGAACAGGGGCACACCCAACACAAGGCCAGCCCCCTTCAAGCCCCCCTTCAAGCCCCCCCTTCAAGCCCCCTTCAAGCCCCCCAGCAGCCGCAGACCTTCTATGGGCCGCCACGCACCAAGACCCCAACTCATGTGCCGACAGCAGGGCAGCCAAGCCAGAACCCGCTCCAAGATGGCCGTACACTTCGACGCGGACAACAGGACCGCAAGCCAAACGACCCGCACGCAGCCCCACCGGCAGACCCACATTTTTACCCGCAAGCCCGAGATAGACGGAACCTCGGCGGGCGAACCAACCAGGGGCCCTCGCCGCCACCAGCGCCAACACCGGACGACCCAGCAGCGGACCAAGACACAGCAGCTATGATGCAGACTTCCCCGGCCGCCCTCAAGAGACAACACGGGGGCCAGCCCGATCCAGCACCCCAAGACACAGCTGGGGGAAACCCAACCCAACAGCCAGGCGCAACCCCGCACTCGGCCAGCACAGGCCACCCGCCCTACAAGCACAAGCCACCCCCACTACCCTTGCAGCAAGCAGTGCGACAACAATACAGGTGCCGCAACGTACAGGGGGGGAATTGCCAACCACCACGGTTGCGAACCAAACTTCTGACCCCGGGGCCCCTCTCCGAGAGCGCATCCCTTCATGGCAAAAAGTTGAGAGACACCTCCTTGCAATGAGAAGGCTAGCCGAACACCTCCCGAATGGGGGAACAATAGTGGCCGTTGTCGACTGCGCCCTCGCAGACGTTCTCATGGACAGCGATGCAGAGCAGCATGTTGACATGTGTATAGAGCAGTTGCTAGGTCTGAGCCATGGCACGGGGGAACAAAGGCCACCCAAGCGCCGTCGGCAGGTGATGACAGCCAGACAAGCCATTCGGCAGCTCTCAGATCTGGCCCGCGTACAGCTCACGGAGCGGGGGCGGCCAGTCACTGTGGCCGACCTGACGCCATGCCTGGACGCAGTGGTTCGCTGGTTGCAACGCATCACGGGGGAAACCCTGAGCGACACCAACATGCCCGACCTGATGGCGACTCTGCGACAAGTTCTCCAAGCTATTGGGGAAGGGACGGCGACTCTGGACCACTGGCGACAACTGATGACCGTGGGGGAAAGCCTTCGATCTCTGTTTGAGATAACAGAAGGGGAACGAACGGATGAGAACGTGCAACCGGAGCTCGAGGGCATCCAACCTGGGGAATACGCCCTCATCTTCGAGCAGATTGCAGCCTCCTTCGCGCAGTGGAACCACGACGAGCAAGCCACGCTGCAGGCCGACCTCCTCAACCTGCTGCACACCACGTCAGCCATCTTGCACAGCCAAGCAGCAGAGATCGCTGCCACTGCTGCGGATTCCCAACCGCCGACCCGTCGGGGGGACCCACGACAAGCTGCAAGACAAGCCGACTGGTGGCTGCACGACAGGCATCATGGGCTGGGGGACAGTGCAAGAATGAGTGTTGATGAGGACAGCCAGCACCGCAACAGCGGGGGAGGATCCTCAAGTGAACCAGCTTCTGATGCCTCCCACCGACGCCGTCGAGAACTCGCTGCTCATGCCCAGGACTACTTCTGATCCCGGGGGAGCCGTGAAAGGGGAGCGACCAAAGTCATGCCGCGGGGGAGTGCATTTCATGTTTACTTGTTTCTTCTGGTTTGCTTGGCTAGGTCACTTGTTTTCCTGAATCACCCCAGCGACATGCTCACTTGGTCAGCCGCACAGGGGGAAACATCCCTGCAATCTCCGCTTCGGACTTCAGGTTGCTTGCGGGGGACTTGCTTGTCTGTCCTTTTGGTTTGAGGTCCTTTGAGACTCTTCTGGGATTAGGGGGATT